TGAGGTTACAAAAGAAATCCCTGCGTACACCACTTACAATCCAGCAGAAGACACAGGACACTCAGGACAAGGAAGGTGTCCAGGATGTTAAACAAAGACAAGCTAAGGAAAAAAAGCAGGAGGGACAGGAGTGATCTGGGAGGGGTGAGGGGCTGAGCTTTTACAAAGGCACAGTGCCCAGGAAAGGGTGCCCTCAGAGACTGGCTGTATGAATACCATGGAGGGCATGACTGACCCATCCACTAAGCTACGGGCAAGGGGAAGGCTGCAGCCAAGGACGTGAGACAAGCAAGCACCTGCCACACTGAAGGGGCAGGAAGGAGGCTGGCAGTACATGTGCCCAGCACAGGCAATGAGGCCCGCAAGGAAGTGGATAGGGCTGCAGGCAGATCTGTGGGAAGGCTCTGAACATGGCTCTCAACCAGCAGCTACCACACTGAGAAAGATGAAGGAGACACAGCCACACTCAAGGAGGCCAGCCAGGAGGCACTGTGGGCTGACGGCAGAGATAACTATGGCTTGTGCAGGGAGTTTGTTAGTGGACCTCTGGTGCCCATCTGTGAATGAGGCCAGACCGAAGGGACTGAGCCAAGGTTTCCAATGTGCCCCACTAGCTGACAGGCGGGGTGAGGTGGGGCCTGATCCCTGGTTCTGCACTGCTGGGAATCTCAGACCGGCTCACAGACTGTCAAGGTCTGCAAACACCATGAGGAGCCAGAAGCAGAACACACGGTGGAAACTGTCTGTGACACCGGAAGCCTACATATCTCATATCTCCTGACAAAGTGGGGTGAGCCCCGGCTGCAGCAGATGCGGTGTGGGGAGCAGCATGAGTTCAAGGCAGGGACATGCTGAGCGGAGGGCCCCCTAAACACCCCGGGGAGATGCTAAGAGGGTGGCCACACAGTGTTGGAGCCTGGGGCAGAGGACACAGAGGCCATGAGACTGCTGAGGTCATCTGGGCTGTGAGTAGGACAGAGACACAGCCAGGGGCTGAACCCTGCGCCTTCTGAGACGTAGAGACCGAGACCAGAGGGACCCGGAAGAAGGCAGGGGAACGACGGCCAACTGGCAGGTACAAGCCCAGGAGACAGTGGAGTGCGTCCTCCTGTGAGGTGAGCCCCGACCCATGTGCTACGTCCCTTTGTACTGATGACTGACTTGGGTCACCCACCGAGGAGGTGGCAAAGACCCAATCCAGAACGCAGGCTGGTCTGCTGTAAGTGGCTTCTCTCCAAGCAGGCTGCTCAATCATTACTGGTGTAACAGATGCAACTACAATGGAATAATTTCAAGCAGGCTCTGAAGCAACATTTTTTGCCAAACACACAGCCAAACTCCATGGTTAAAGTTTGGAGCTCCATCCAGACGAGCCCCAACCAAGGCAACCAGAGCCACCTCCCTCACCCCATAAGCAGGTCACAGCCAGGGACAAATGGCTCGAGGCCTTCCCTGGGATGATGGGACTGAAGTTACTGTTCCTAACTTGCCTGAACAATCCTGAAGTTAACCCCAAGGAACAATAAATTAGAAAACAAGTAGTATTTGTAAACAAAATAAAATGGAACGGAGTAATCTGTGTTTAACAACACAGCTGTAATTATTTAAAAAGAATCCAAAAGCAATGTAGTAGAACAAAAGATATTGAAACAAAATCTTGGAATTAAGCCAGCATCACTGATGTGCTTGGAAACTCTTAGCATACACCATTCGCTAAATTTCAAGGACATTCGATTTCTCAAATGCTGTGAAACCAGAAAATAAAACTTCAAGAAAAAAAGATTTATCCCCAAATCAGAAACTGTCTTTTAACACAGAGGAATGAAGGAAAAAAGAAAAACAGTAACAAATTTAACTGAGCAAAGTGACTTAATTCCTTTGTGTGTGTGTGTTTTTTTACATCATTTTATCTTATATTAAGGCAAACATGTGATATCTGATCTTTGGGGATTGGCTCATTTCCCTTAGCATTATAGTTTCCAGATGGGCCCATCTGACCATGAAGAAATGCATTTCAGTTTTTTAATGGCTGAGTAGTATTTCATATAGTAGATGAGCCAGTTTCCTTATCTAGTCGTCTGTTGGTGGTCATTTCGGTTGCTTCCAAATTTTTGCAATTATGGATTGTGCTGCTATGAACATAGGGGTGCATGCTGGAGTCTCGTGTAACAGGTATTGGAAACACTTTGCAAGATTTGGGTGTAGGCCCTGACTTCCTAGAAAAAAATCACCAAAACAATAGCAATTAAGACCAAAATAAACAAATGGGACTACATCAAACTAAGAAGCTTCTGCACAGCAAAAGAAACAATCAAAAAAATAAAAAAGCAACCCACAGAATGGGAGAAGATCTTTGCACACTACACAAGTGATAGAGGACTAATCTCCAGAATATACAAAGATCTCCAGAACAACCAAAGCACCAAAATAAACAAACCACTCAAGAAATGTGCACGGGAAATGGGCAGACATTTCACAATGGAACAAATCCAAATGGCTAACAAACATATGAAAAAATACTCAGGCTCCCTGGTAATAAGGAAAATCCAAATAAAAACATCACTGAGGTACCACCTGACACCGTAAGAATGACTCACATACAGAAAACCACCAACACTTGCTGGCAAGGATGCAAGGAGAAAGGAACCTTACCCCACTGCGGGCAGGACTGCAGGCTGGTGCAGCCACTATGGAAATCAGTATGGAGAACACTCAGACAACTGAAAATCTGTATACCATATAACCCAGCAATAGCACTTCTAGGAATATATCCAAAACACCTGTTACACGACTTCTTAATCAAGAGAATACAAAATGTAAAAGCAAATGGTGAGTTGAGAAGAAACACTAGAAACATAGGACAAATTATTCAGATACAAAGAGTTCTAATAAACCAACCAGACAACCTGGGAGCACTGCACAGTGGGAAAGACGAGCTGCTTTCAGAGCTGCTACAGGCAACAAATGGTTGATGCAAGGCACAGAAACACACACAGTGTGACTAAGCTACATATTTCCATCAGTGGGGCCAGAGCAACTACGCAAAAACCCACGCTCAGGAGAGCAGGAAGCACGACTGTGAGGGACACCACAGCCTGGAGATGGGGCCAGCTCAGACCCAGACACGACAGAGCCATGCGAACACTGGTATTTCCACACTTTCACTCTTCCAGACAGGACACCTCATCCTTCCCTAAACATGAAAACAAAAGCAGCAATGCAAACATGTCCTTTTGTTGCAGAATGTTTCATGAGGTTTGTGAGGTTGTTCCCTTTCAGGAAAGGTGAGTCACTGGCCTGAACACAAGGGCACCTGCGTCCTGCTGAGTTACTCGGGGAGGCACACATCTGACAGGTACAACAGGTGCAAAGGACTTCACCACACCACACTCCTCCTGACAACGGTCAATCCAGCATCCGCAGACCTGACCACAGAACCAGGCATGGGCTGGAGCACACCCTCGTGGCCCTTGTGACACGGCCTGGGGGACATTCCAGACTCAGGGGAGCAGCTCTGCAGGTCTGGGCGACTGGAGGGAGGAACACGCATTCACATCCAGAAGTGTTCCTCCGGCTCACACGCCGGGCAGCGCAGGGCAGAGTTCCAGGACACCCTTGCAGCTTTGCCGCTGTCAGCCACCGCGCACTGTGTTCACTTTGATTACAGGCTTTTCAGCGAGCACTGCAAAAGTTTTAAAAGAACTCTAGCTCGTCTTCAGGCTGCAGCTTTGACCGTGAACTGATGAATTCCAACCAAGCACTCAGCTTTCCACTGAAGCCTTGGGACTCAACCAAACCAAGCTGTGACCAGGCACCCACAACCCACTGACACCCAGAACACTCTCACAGAAATATGGGACTTTGCAGCTGCACTCTCCCCTAATCTCCGAAATTAAGTCATGGCTGAAATAAATTTTGATTTAAACAGTCACTCCCAATATTTTTTTATAGAACTGTGTTGAAATAACACCAAACTTCTAAACGAAGTTTGTTCATCTTACTCTTGGAGTAGGCACAAGTGCCTCCCACAGCTGGGGCTTCTAAGTCCAACAGGAAGTCAGAGAGCACTTTCCTGGCTCAGCAGCTGTGACCCAGGGCAAAGCTCCGTCAGCCCACCTCGGGCTGCGTCCTGCTGCCCAGGGCCGCGTACCAGTCAGGAAGGGCAGCTGTCTTCCCCACAGCCATCCTGCACCTCCTCCTTGCAGAACTCCCCAGACCCCACCTGCACAGGCAGCAAATCCAAAGGAAATCACAAACACACAGAACCATCTATGTCTTACCAGGGTCAACTCAGCTCAAACACTGCTGATGTTGCATTATCTTTATGTTGTTTTTAAGCTCTATTTGGAAGGCAGAGTTAGAGAGAGAATGGAATTCATTGGTTGATTCCCCAAATGACCACAATATCCAGCAGGACGAGGCCACTCTGAAGCCAGGAGCCAGGAACTCCACTTGGGTCTCCCATGTGGGTTGGCAGAGGCCCAAGTACTTAGGCCATATTCTGCTTCTTTTCTGGGTGCATTAGCAAGGGAGCTGGATGAGAAGTGGAGCAGGCAGAACTCGAACTAGTGCTCATGTGTGATGCAGGCAGTGCAGGAGGCAACCCAACCTGCAGTGCCACAAAGCCAGACCCTAACACTGTATTTTAGGCTGAGCTTCATTTTCAACAGAACATAGCAAGTAACTTGGATCACACAACAATCGGGGCAGATGTGGCCAAGGTTGCTCCTTGGGTGAGAGCAGTGAGAAACCAAGGACGCCTGGCCCCTTGCGGCAGCACTCCTCGCTACGCCCCACCTCCCTCACGGTCAGTCAGTGGCCACCTGACCCCAGCCCTGCTGGGAGCCACAGGCTGTCAAGGCATCGGGCGCTGGCAGGAAGAACACAGCCAGGTCTCCACTGCTCTTCTAGCATGTCAGTTCTCCAAGACAGGCAGCGGCTCCCGCCCCCTGGGCATGCCCTGAGCGTGGGTCCTGCCCACCTGGGAGTCGGGTACTCACCATCAGCGGTATGCAGGAGCTTGTGACTCTTCAGCGTCCCTTTTGACTTGAATTTCTTGCCACACATGTCACAGAGGTGGGTCTTCTCGGTGCTGTGACGATTCATGTGAGCCTTGAGGTTGCTCTTGCTGCGAGTCGCGTATTCACACAAGGAGCATTTGAAAGGCTTCACACCTAGCAGGGTAATACACATGACTATCTAAAACAGCAATAGATAAAACGAACTCTCTGGATCAAACGGTGCTCCTGCTTGACCCTCGCACACCACACACTTCCCCACGCCAGCCCTGCCTGGCAGCTCCTTCTGCCTGGCTCTGGCAGGCGCTCTACCTGCCGCTTTCTCTGACCTTCCCTATCCTGTAACTGCTTGCTCGAGTGCCCAGTGCACACCACAGGGAGCTGTTTACAGCTGCCCCATCCTATGGTCTGGGAGCTCCTTGAGGACATGGGCCCTGAGAAAGTCACAGGGCAGATGATCAGTAACTCCAGTTGAACCATGTTAAAGGCCCCAAGGGCCTCTGCAGGAGTCAACAGGATCAGGGATCCAGGATCAGACGTGACACCTCTTTCACTTCATAAAACAAGCACAGCTTTAGGACGCTAAGACAATGGCAGTCATCTTGGCATGGAAATAATCTTGTATTTCAGCAAATCCCTGCTGAGGTTGTGTTTACACCAAGCACTGAGGGCTGATTCTGGACCTCAGCCGAGCTGGTCCCCACCATGCCCACGGGGAGATTCAGGCAAGTCAACAAGCCATTACAATGCAGCATGGTGTGCTATGGTGAGCATTTCCACCCATTACCCACACCACTTCTGGCTCAAGAGCAGAGGAGCCAGGGCATGAAAGAGGACAGGGGACACATCCGGGGCACAGAGCCCACATGCACACATGCGGTGTGGCCTGTATAATAAGCCCTAGGCCTGGGCTGGGTTTCTGGAAAATGAAGTGACCTAACCACCAGCACCAATAGGCTGTGTGACAAGGAACTAGTCCCCATATCTGAGAATTAATGGGACCAGAAGTCACCTCCAAAGGAATGCTGTGTCCCCTGTTCATGATGTTCATTAAGAATTCCCCTAGGCCCAGGGCAGCAGCTTGGCTTGAGCACGGCTTTCTGCACTATGTGTGTCTCCACCAGGTCTTCCAACATCAAGTCAAAGCTACAGAAGGTTCAGGACTCTCCCACCATGGAGCACACAAGCCACACAGTGGCCAAGCACAGCTCAGTGATGCCATCTCCGCACGTTACCAACATCCGAGGAGCTGAAGTATAGCCAGGCACTGCAGCACCAGGTGCTGTTCCCGGTGGCTTACACACTCAAGAAGGCACAGCACCCTGAGAAGCCCTCTGCTCTCTATTACGACCAACAGAGGAGCCCAGCACAGCCACACAGGGCTTTGCAAAGGAACATCTCCACTCATGGCTTCATTCCCCATCGGCCAGCTGCACTGCCACCTAATCATCCAATGGCTCTACATGCCCATGGCTCTGGCGGTCACCTGTCACTGTGCCCAGGCAGATGGTATAGGCAGACCAGCCATCCAGATGCCCAGCTGCCTACAACTCAGCACTCACCCTGCTCAGCAGGGATTCAGACACCATCTATTCCAAAATCCACTGCTGCCAGCCACGAGAGCCGGGTCTGAGAACCACACAGGTGGGTGAGACCCAAGTCCATTACTGTCCTTTCTGGGACCTGCAGCAGTTATAGGTCCTCTGAGGAACAAACATCACCCGTAAGCAAAACTTCTCCACGGATGGCCAAGGTGACCACACCAATTCGGCCTGCTTTCTTCCTTTTTTCTTTTTTTGCAATTTTTTTCCTTAATCTCTGCTTCTCTTGTCCCATGTTTTACTTTGAGAGTAAACAAAGAGAAGGAAGCATTATAATGGAGAAATGAACTCTAACGGTCCCCAAACAATGCACTGTGGGCACTCATAGTTCCTTATCATAAAAAAAGTGGCAGGTCAGCTAAAAAGTCCAGTGTCAGGACAGTCCACCAAAAAGCTTTACCCTCTGGTTCTCTGAACCTTTGCCATAATTCAGAATATTTTCGGATGGTAAGCCTGCTTCAACAGACATCAACACGTGTAATACTTAGTTAAATATGTGCTTGGCTGCCGATTTATGTAAATTAGTTCATTTCCCCTTTGCAACACATCCCAAAGTAGCTCACATTCCTATTTCATAGGTAAGTAGACTAGAGCTTAGAAAGACAGGAGTGTTTGTCCCATCCCACCGCTCTTTGGTGGTGAGAGCAGGCCTGGAACCCAGTCCTTACTCCCTCCAGAGCCTGGGGTCTCTCACATGAGTATAACCACCTTTAAATGCCTAGGGCTCCCTGCATTTCCACCAGAGTCAGCTCCAGGCTGACCTGTCCTCCAGGCTGACCTGTCCTCCAGGCTGACCTGTCCTCCAGGCAAGCATGGCCCCCTCCCACTGGGGCCACAAACCCCCTCAGTTTCATGACCGCAAACAACAGAAGCACACATGTGCCTGCCACTAAGCTTCTCTCCTATAGAGAAGTGCAGAGATAGTGGCCAGGGTTCGAATCCCAGTCCTGCCTCTTGTTAGATGTGTGACACTGGGCAGGTTTCTTGACCTCTAAGGGCTCCAATTACCTCAGTAAAGTGAGATGCTAACTGTGCCTGCCTACAAAAAGAAACATGGCACTCACTGCCAGGCAGCAGCCACTTAGCACGCCTCTCCTAACCTTGGCCTCCCCTTCTCCAGGTGTCTCCTCTGCCAGGTGAGCTGTGGGGTTCTCTCCTCTATGAGTTCCTTCCCTGGGGCATGCAAACAGACCGTGTTCCTCCCTGTCACAAAGAACATTCACTCCTCCATCCTGGTCTCACACCTACAGTGCTCCAGGCTTCCAACCTGCAGAAAGGGCCTACATGCAGAGTTGAGGGGGGCATGGTTTTTCCTGGCCCAGACTCCTCTCCTCATCTTGGAGATGAGGGGCGAGGGGAAGAGAGCAGGAAGAGGGCTCATTCCAAGACAGGGGCCTGTCGCCTATAGCACAATCTTGATTCCCAACTCGCCCAGGATACCAAGGAGAGGTTTCCCCACCAACCCTTCTCACACAAGACCCCAAAAAGCACAGCCTCACTTCCTCACCCTACTCAACTCTTCCACCTGCCCACTCTCCCACAAAGTACCTGATAACACTGCACACTGTGATGAACGGCCGGCTCTGCTGCCTTCCTCACCTTCGCTCATTATCAAACCACCAGTTCTTCAAGGCCTGTGATGGCCAATGCACCATAGAAGATACCAGAAGTACCGTCATGATTGACAGCAAGATTCTAGTTCTCAGAGACATAATCACTGATTGAATGCTAACTACAACGAGGCCATGAAGAAGTGTACGCCTGCACCTGTGGCTAACACCACCAGCAAGTCCTGATTTGAATCAGCAGGGCTAGCAGGTGGAAGAACACAGCTCTGCGTACTGAGCAAAGGACAGGGCACAGGAAGAGGCGCTTCTTCCTGAAGCACTCACCAGCGAAGCAGAGCAGCACAGTCAGAGAGGAGTTCCACACTCACCTTCGTGGGCCCAGATGTGGCGCTGAAGGTCTGAGCCATTCTTCATGAAGTAGAAATCGCAGTACGGGCACTTCATGGCTCTCTTTCCAATCAGCCCTTTCAGTTGCACCCTCCTCCCGAGAACCTCAGAAATGGTGCTCATGGAGACCTCTGGAAGAAAGGTGGGTGGAGGGGGGACAGTCAGAGGGGCCAGGGGCTTTGTATACATCACACAGAAATGGACCTTGGGATGGCACCTGTGTACCCAGGGGACAAGTCAAGATGAGCCTCATGGGTTCACCGACAGCCTTTTTGCCTAAAACGTACTGACACCAACTCAAATCCTCAGTCTAAACAGCCATTAGTGTTAAAGCTGGGTGGGGGGAAAGAGTGGAGAAACAGCATCACGGGGCAGTGATTAGGCAAATGCAGTGCCTGGCATGCTCTGCAGGAGAGACTCGAGCTCTTCCCCCGTCACCATCACAGGAAAACCCTGGGGGAGGTGCACCTGACAGAACACGCCAAGGGACACAAGCACAAAACACAAATGTCGGGACCTCGGCTCAAAACCAGCTACCCATCAACGCAAAGGACTTCTTGGGGCAACAGAGACACGGTGGGTGCATGAACAAGAGGGAGTGATGAGGCATCCGTGCTAACCCTGTTTGTTGCACTGGTGAAAATGCTTACACTGACAAGCAACCCTAAGAGGTGGAGATGTATTCTCATGCTTTGTTAGTGGGAACACTAGATGATGACTAGGATATGCCTTGAGATATTCTGTGAAGAAAAAATAAAGTTTTTGAAACAGATATATAACGTGAGATGGCAAGACGTGGATAACTGGCATGGCTGAGTTATGGACACATGGGAGGATTCTATACATATTTTCATGTCTTGGATATTCCACAGCAAAACAATGTCTTCCATCTGTCCGAGTGCAAGGGCTGGCCACTGTAAGTAGACCATCTCTAGCTCCCATTAGGCCACCAATCACTTAAGCTGGTGAATAGAGAAGGACAGAGCCATGCCCTCACAGAAACGCAACCATCCATTTTCACCCAGACAAAAGCTTCAAGCCTCCACCTACTCCCAGACCAAACACTGCTCAGTGTTTAGGATTGGCAAGTGAGCTCCCTACACCAAGGGCAGATAGAAAAAAAAAGAAAAAGAGAAATGAGGCATGGACAAAGAGAGAGGCACCATGGCCCTCTGGTTACTCATATAACAGAAAACGGCACTTCTGTCGGTTCTCATGCGCCCTGCTACTGAAGCCTTGAGGAGCTTGCCCAGACTGGGAGTCACAGAAGCCTACCGGGGCAGGGCTCTGAGAGGGACTTTATAGAACAAAGCGGAACAACATGAAGTGTCTCAGGCAGCAACAGCAGGATGATCAGGGATGCAAGTCCAGGTAGTTGGTGCATTCAACACTCAGGCAGCATGGGACAGTCACCGCAACTCTGAGGCTCCTCAGCCTGCAGGGGAGGCGGCACCCCTTGTAAACTACCACTCCGGGTAACACACACTTATGATAAGGGCAAACATCAGGCAAGGACCTAAGACACGCCTGTGTGGTCTGTGACCCATCTAAAAGCATTCAAAATTCACACTGAAAATAGCAAGAAGACGTCACCAGCATGCAAGGGACAGCTGCATCTAAAGATAAAAGAGCATAAAAATGAAATAATTATATAAACTTCCCACTTGCAAATAAAGACAGCAGTTAGCCTTGAACTTACTCAAATGTCCATCCTTCTTCCTAGTGCGGCTGATGTATACTGCTGTGTTTTCAAATAAACATGGCATGTTATAAGTAATTTCCATTCTAAAGTTGTAACTTACCAGGATGATTGGTCTTGATGTGTGACTTTATCAAACGATCTTCTGAAAACGACTTTTCACACACAGGGCAAGAATAACTCCTTTTGTCCTTAACAGGAAGAGAACATCATCAATTGACTGTCTCATTTAAATCCAGTGTCCATGACTATCACTATCACCATCATCAGAACATTCCCATCACCACCATGCTCACGGCACCACCATCACCACCGTTATCATCATCCTCACCACCACCATCACCACCATGCTCACCACCATCACCACCACCATCACCACCATGCTCACCACCATCACCACCACCATCACCACCATGCTCACCACCACCATCACCACCGTTATCATCATCCTCACCACCACCATCACCATGTCCATCACCACCATGCTCACCACCATCACCACCATGCTCACCACCACCATCACCACCGTTATCATCATCCTCACCACCACCATCACCATGTCCATCACCACCATGCTCACGGCACCACCATCACCACTCTTACCATCATCCTCACCACCACCATGTCCATCATCACCACCGTTATCATCACCCTCACCACCACCATGTCCACCATCACCATCCTCACCACCATGACCATGTCCATTACCACCATGCTCACGGCACCACCATCACCATGTCCATCGTCACCTTCCACACCACCACCATCACCTTCCTCACCACCACAGCTATCAACATTACCAGCATCACCATCAATACTACAGCTCCCATTATCATCACCACTATCAGTTCACCCTGACCAACATTATCACCACCCCTGAGCAGCGACAGCACCAACCTCACTATTGCTGTCACCTTCATCACAATCATTGCACCATCACTATCACACTCATCAAGGCAATATATACATACCATTTCCCAACACAGCTACTAACAGCCCCTAGCTGGCCCTGCACAGCCTGAAGCAGAGGGATGATGTTAGCTCCATTTCAGAAGGGAGAAGGAGGGTTTAAAGGGAAGCTCCCTGTGGAGGTGGTAACAGGCCAGGCTCAAATCCAAGGTCAAGTGTGTGCTGTGCTGACCAGTACTGCTCTATGGTCCATGGCTTATTTTATCCTCTAGTACTTGACACATAGTTTGCCTAGGGATCCATGTAAGTTATTTTATTGAGACAACCCCTCAGGAATGACAGGCATTGTTCATGCTCCTGTTCCAGGCTGCGAAGCCCAGACCAGCAGCACACACAGGGCTTAAACGCAATCTACAGATCACACCATGAAAGAGAAGGACACAGCCTTTGCCTGCCTCTTTTCCTCCAACAATGGGGAAGTAGCAGAACAATAGGTGGACAGCAAAACAAAGATTTGACCTGGCAGAGCAGAGGTACCAAAAGCAGTCCTGACTTTGACAGAAGAAGGAAATCTACTTCCATCTTGAAGGAAGAAGTAAGGGAGGGCAGGGGAGGTAGGGGGAGAACTGAAGGCGAAGAATCCAAGGTGCAGGAGGAAGCCCTGCCTTGGACCTGGGTGGTCCAGATGCCTGACCAGGAAGCCCCCTCCAGAGAGCCGCGGGAGGGAGTTTATCAGCACTGCTGTGAGCAGGTCTCACCCTCTCCATCAGGACAAGCTCCTGCTCACCTCCCTGCTCTCTGAGCTCATCTGGGGGTGACTCCCCACCTCTAGGACTGGAGGAACAGAAGCACATGCCACGGGTCAAACTGTGTCCCTCACAGGCAACCACTTGGGGTTCTAACCTCCGGGATTTCAGATGGGACCTTGGTTAGTGATAGGGCCTTCTCAGATGCAGTCTGGTGGAAGTACACACACTGGAGTGCACCCTGACACATCAAGGCAGCATCCTTATGCAAAAGAGGGACCTGAACATACACGCACACCCAGGGGGAATCATGTGCAACACCCACAGGGGCTAGCAGATAGTGGAGAGCAACCCATTATACCTTGAGCCTGGAATCCTCCCTGGAATTGGAAGACAACCGATGCCTGCTGTTGGAAGTGACCCAAGCCACCTGCTTTCATCAGCAGGTGTCCCAAGCCCTCATCTTCCTGAGAAACAAGCGCTAGTGGCAAGGACTGCCTGCCAGGTGAACAACCTGCAGGAGCCACCCACATCCTGGAGGATGCTGCCACAGTCTAGGGCAGCTGACTCCCAACAGTGGGCTCAGCACTGCACATGTGCTTTCCATGCCTGCTGGAAACTGGCACAGCTCCCACCACCCTCAGCATAGACTGCCCATCCCTCTAAATAACAACATCACAACAGCTTCTACTTGCGAAGCACGTCTGGTGTGCAGCGCCTTGGCACACCACACCTTGTGGGGCCATCGGACACCTATAGAGGACAGAGCTGTGTGTCTAAATTGGCCCATGGATGCCAAAACTCTTGCTCCTTTGGACACTGGCCATTAGTACTATCTCAGGACCCCAAGTCCCCAGACTATACTCTGGGGAGCTGAGAGACACAGGTGATTTAACCTGTCGGTGCCTCGGTTTTACCATCTGTAAAATGGGAATAAAAATGACTTCTTTGCAGTGTGGTACAGCAGGTTAAGCCACCGTTCACAATATTGGCATCCCAGGTTAGAGTCATTTCAGATCCTGGCTGCTCTACTTCCATCCATAGCTCCCTGCTGGTGAGCCTGAGAGGGCAGTGGATGATGGCCCAGGTTCTTTGGCTCATGACATTCACATGGGAGACCAGTACGGAGTGCCAGAGTCTAGGCTTTAGCTTGGCTCAGCTCTGACCATTGCCTGTTGTGGTCATCTGGTGTATGAACCAGCAAATGGAGAATCTCTCTTCCTTCTCTCTCCCTAGTCATCTCCCTCTCTCTTACTCCATCCCTTTCCCTCCCTGCCAAGTAACTATATCTTAAAACAAACAGCCTGCCTCCTCTATCCCACACACACTTCCTCCAACCCCCATGACTGCTCAGAAAAGAGCTGGGACTACAGCAAGTTGCTCGGCACCCGTAAGAGCTGCTGTGGCATTCTCAGTACGGTGGGCCCCCACAGCAGCTGGGGACTGTGCTCCGGGGGAAGCAAGTGGCACTTTCATGGGGGCGCTTGCAACAAGCACTCCCACCTCCTTGTAAGACTGGCTGCCAGCTGGAGCTGCAGCAAACCACCTCCTGGAGCCAGTGTCGGCCACAGCAAAAAAACAAACAAATTTTGCCAAATAACCACGTCGTCTGGATGTACTTCCCACCAACACGTGGGCAGCAAGCACACAGTGGCTGCCAAGTTCAGGGGTCCCAGCAGCTCTCAAGAAACTGTCCTCGCTGTCTGGCCAGGCAAGCCTACAGCCCCACCTCCGCTCCATTGTTGGCTTAGGGCTCCTCCATAGGCTCCTGTGCCTGTCCTTGGCCTCAGAGAGTCAACTTGGGAGATGCCGTGGGGCTGCAGGTGCCCTAAGGGAGGCCTTGGCAGCCCCTAGAAGCCCCTGGTGCCCTGGTCATCACAGCTGATGGAGGCATTCCTGCAGTATCATCATCTCCCCTAAATCCCTGCGATTGTTTTTCTTACTTTAAATTCCCAATGGCCTGAAAGCAGCTTCTCTCCCAGCTTGCCAGAGCCTTCTTCCCGACGCCTTTGAAGACCCCCCAGAAGGACAGAGGCAGCGGGAAAGGGCTCAGAGGAGGGGGCACTCCTAGGACTCACTTGTGTCTTTTGCAAACCCTCGGTTCCCCCGTGGCGGACGAAAAACAAACTGACACGCGGCACACTTGAAAAGAGTGGTGGTTAAAACACTCCCAGCAGAAACCAGGATGGCCAAAGAGCCCAGCCTCCAGCCCAGAACCCCTCCTCCAGGCAGCCCTCCAGGACCCCGAAGCCCCAGCGGGCCTCTCCAGACCCTCTCTGGGAGGATGGGGGAGCAGGGTGCCCCATATGGCACTCACTGACTTCCCATGCGGCCACCACTGTGAACTCACTGCTCTCCCCACACAGAGAGCCCATGCAGGCTGGTGGCTAGTCTCTCACCTGCATGTGCTGGAGCTGTGGCCTCCAGCCCCAGAGGAGGCCCAGTGTGCTCACCTCTGAAAGTGTCTCAAGTGGAGGAAGTGCAAACCCCATGGAGGAAACAGCGGCACTAAGCTTTAACAGCTTCTAAAGCAGCAGCAGGGCCAAGGAGAGACGGGACAACACTATCAGCTCACCCGAGCCACACAGCAATGGGGCAATGACAAGGCCTTTACTGATGCTGACCATGGACAGGTCACTAAACGACTTGGAAACACCGGTTCCTGTGCTACCCAGTGGAAGAAATAATTCCCACTGGCCAAGACCACGTAAGACAGAACAGAGCCCACAACTGGTCCTCCCTCAGTCCCACACACCCCGCCCTGGCCGCAGGGCACTTCTGAGGACCTTGACCATGTGACCTGCTGAGCTCTCTGCACAGAGGACAGGGCAGGGTGGGGGGGAGACGCAAAGAAACTTTTTTTAAATATCACTTTCTCGAGAACAGCACAAAGCAGCCTCAGCCAATTGCTTGCTGCTTCCTGGTAGACCAGAGGACAGGGTTGGCAGCAGAAGGTCCAGGGGATGCAGCAGACTGGTCCTGACTGGGAGTCTGTCCAGCACAGATCCTGGGCAGAGGCAGTCTGCGTTCCACGGAGCAAAGCTCACTGACAGCCTGCTTGTTCAGTGCTGCAGCATCCCAGGCCAGCCGGAAGCACCTGGAGCTCACTCCACACCAGGCACTGTTCCAGGACCTTTGCCTTTGCTTTCTCTTTCTCCTCTCTGGAGGACAGGTCAGCCGAAGCACAGAGTGACTATGCAACACATCCCTATGCTGGATAGGGAGGTGACTTGGGGCAGCCAGAGTTACAACCAAACAGTCCCCTTGGGCTTCCACTGCCAGGCTCCAAGGCTTCTCCCAGACACCTTCTCTCACGCTGGCATTGTCCCTTCTGCCTCCAGTAAGAGCTCCCAGGAGAGTGACACTGAGGGACTCTGCCACTCGGTTCTCCTGCCCTAAGAATATGGCCAGGAGCAGTACCAACTACCAGTAATGCACGAGGAATGACGGCCCATACCCCTCGTGCAGAGAGGGGGTGGACATGGCCTGAGGACGACCGGTGAACAGCTGGTGCACACGCTCAGCTGTCCAACAGGGCAGCACGCCAGGTTTTTAATGGGCAGGGTTGTCTGCCAACCTCTTAAAAACAGAAGCAGATCTCTACACATAAACAGGTGTACACACAGACACCCACATACCTACATACACATATGTAGAACTGTGTGTACATACATATAAGCAGCATGTATAGACACATGTGTAAACCTGTCTGCATATCTATGTCGATACACATATGCGCATAAGACACAGGGCACATTACACGGAAGGCTCCCAGGTCTCAGAAAGAGCAAGCAACGCGCCCAAAGCTGCAGAGCCTGTGGGATGCGAGAAACGCTGTTCCAATCCGCTTATCTCACCCAAAGTCCTGGCTCGCACCCACCCACTTCATCCAAGCACCCCAACTTCACACACAAGAGGCAAACAGCCAGAGCGCGTGAGTGGCTGTGCTGGAAAACCCGTGGCAGCGCAGTGAATCTCTGCCTCGTTATGAACTCTGAGTAAAACGGGAAGCAGCTAATGCAGAGCCACACCTGGGGTCCAGCTGTGCTTCCTTCACCCCTGGAAGACCTCGCCAATCAGTCTCAGGTGTCAGCCCCTTGAGTTAAGTGAAAATTTGCAGAAGCAAAACAGTGATTCACTGTGCTTCAACTCCCCCACTGAGGAACTCAACAAATAGAACATCATGAATATTAACAGCACCCTAGAATTTGCAAAGGAATTTAAAAATCAAAGTGCCTCACTGACATTCCTTCTTGGACGGTTTGCAATCAGTGACACGCTGACATGATAGTGAGCTGTGTCCACACTCACTGCACTAGCAGCCAACACTGATGCTCACCCTTCAGGGCCCCCAGCAACAGCCAGGGGCAGCTGTCCACCACCCCTGACTCACTGGACTCTCTAACATGGTGTTTAAAAGCCCCTCACTCCCCTCCTGCTCTGCTGCTGAGACGCGCACGCAGACAGCAACGTGTCCGCCCTCACCTCCTCTGCAGTGGATTGCATCTAGGTGCACGCTTGCTCACTTGTCCACTAAGCATGGAGCCGAGGGTGGGGAGACAGTGGGCTGAGGGTCAAGCAGGCACGTGGGAAGTGAAAAGCTGCTGCCTGAGACCGCCTGCCCTGCCTGCGCTGTTGGGGCCGGGTGCCAGCACACGGGAGTGACCCACAGCAGCGGCACCTGTGTACGCATCTGCATGAGGAAGCAAGGCGCACCGGGGGAGACGGGGCTGCCGCTCTCGGCGGGCTACTTACCAGCTCTGTATGAACTTTAAGATGTGCCTGCAGCTTATATTTATCTGGAGTCGAGTAGTCACAGCCGTCAGTGGGGCACTTCAGCAAGATGTTACTGTGTTTCTGAATTACATGGCGTTTAAGGCAGTTTTTGGTGATGGAGGAGTAGTGACACTGGGAGCAGTAATACAGATGTTCCCGGGTGTGGGTGCGCACATGCATGTCAAAATGCACCTGGTACCAGAAAAGTTTGCCTAAAAAAATATTTTCACGTGAGAACAAGGAAGGTTTTTTTTATACCGAATTTGAATCTTTTTTTCTAAATTAGTATTATCATTTTACTTTATATATTTTTTCTTCTTTTTTACTGCAATTAGCATCCTCTCAGGCTTGTCTCCAAGCCTCTATACTTGCCACCAATTCTCTGTCTTGAAATTACTTTTCAAAGGTGGGAGGATGCAGAGTTCAGCGCTACTGCCACTGACAGAATGCCAGTGCCGAGAGAGGAGACAAGTGTTCACCAAGGACCAGTCACAATGCCAAACGCTGTGACGCATGGGCACAAGCCAGAGCCCCTCAGCCTGCTGACACTCCTGGGCACGGGGGCTCGGACTGGGCCTCCTACTGCCAGTGGCACCTGCCCCTCTGGAGAGTCAGCAGCCTCCAGAGTGCCTGTGAGTGGACAGAGAGCCCTCGGGGTCTCCCTGCAGAGGGCTCCAGCCACCCTCGGACCTCTTCCCCCCGTTGTCTAGAATGTGGCCACAAGTAGAAGCTTGACACTTGTCATGAGCTACAGGATTCTCCTTGGTTAGGGTTTGTGGGGTAACTTCAGCAGGCACACCTGACCCATCCCACACAGTCATCCGTGCTGTCACCCCAGCTGCCTGCGCAGCCATTCTGCGTGCTAACTGCAACACAGGTGGCCACCCGGCCCGACCTGCCGGGGAGGGGCTCATTTACACTAACACGAGGTGACCACAGCGAGACGGGAACGGCTGGGCTGCTGGGAAGGAGCCTGCTGGCTGGCTGCACCCGACTCTGCCCTCTCTTACCACAGTATTCACACTCCAGGTCTCCGTACACCTTCCGGATCCTCTCGCACAAACCAGTGTTCATTTGTTTCTTCTGCAAACTGTCCAGGACCTTCATGAACGCAGTGATGCCAGGTCGGTGCTCAGAGGCGGGTTTGCAAGAGTCGGGCTGGCACTCGGGTGTGTCCCCACTCCCAGCCCGCAGGGACAGGGCATCCGAGGCCTCTGCCGGGGTTTGCCTCAGACACAGGCTCGGTTCTGGTTCACTGGCACCAAGGGTGGCCATGGTCTGCCCTTCATGTGCGGGGTTCTCACCACTCAGTGCGTCCTGCTCAGGCCCGGCGCTTTCAGCCTGGGTCAGCAGCAGTGCCATCTCTTTGTCCTGAGTCTGGCCTGAGGCCCTGTGCTGGGGGTCCGGGGTGGTCTCATGAGCAACGTGAGCCTCCATGGGAGAGGCAGCATTTTTCAACAAGCAACCATCAGAAACCACTGCCAGAGCGTGCAGATCCGACGAGACCACGGTGGTCTCCAGTTCACAGGGTGGCAAGGCTGTGGCACCTTCGGCCTCAGGGGTGACCAGGTGCATGGCAGGGGTTGGTGTTTTCAGGGGGGCCTCCAGGTCCACCTGCGTGCCCCTGGGCTGGGCCTCCTGGGAGCAGTCCTTCTCCTTGAGCACACTCGCCCCAGGGAACACCAGCTCCGCCTCCGCCAGCTGTAGCTGGTCCCCCAGGGCTTCCTGCTGGATGTCGCCACCCGGCTCCAGCAGGCAGAAGCTCTGGTTGATGGAGCTGGTGAACACCTGGCTCTCCTGCGCGGAGTCGTGCATCTCCCGGATGTGGGAGCGCAGCCTGATGGAACTGACAAACTTCTTAAGGCAGATGGAGCAGACGTAGACGAAGGGGTGTTTCCGGACGTGCAGCTCCAGTGCCTGGTACTTGGTGGCCCCATGGCCACACAGTTCGCAGGCATAAGGCCATTTGTCGCCATGCACCAGCATATGGCGGTCGCGGTCCAGCTCATTCTTGAACTTGCGCTCGCAGATGTGGCAGTCATAGAGCAGCTGCCGCTTGCCTTCCCTGGTCATGAGGCGCAGCTCGTCCAGGGCCTCCTGGACCTTCTTGTCCTGCGGGTCGTGGGTGTCCCGGATGTGCTTGATGAGGTTCTTGACGTCGGAGTACTTCTTCTTGCAGAAGCGGCAGTGCTGCTTGATCTTCTCATGCACGCGCTCGATGTGCACCTTGAGGTGGCCCTTGCTCAGGCAGGTGAAGGGGCAGTAGTCACAGGCAAACTTCTCCCCTGTGTGCTTGCGCAGGTGCACGTTGAGGTTGGCCTTGATGGCGCTGGCATAGCTGCACTGGGAGCACTTATACGGCTTCTCGTTGGTGTGGATGCGCAGGTGGGCCTGGAGCGAGTGCTTGAACTTGAAGACCTTGTTGCAGTATTCACACGTGAAGATTTTGAGCTGGGTGGGACCTAGCCTAGAAACAGATGGCAGCACAGTTACCCTTGGAGACCTTGAACCTGCAGTCTAACTGAGGTCTAAAGCGGACACAAGTGGCGTGAGGCACTGACGCACTTAGCAAGCAGGATCAGAGGTTTGGGGTCTGTCAGGAGCCCGGAGCCTAGAGTGAGAGGAGACGGGTCTGCACACAGTACACAGCAATGTGACAGTGTTGACAGGAACATGCTAGATCCCCGGGCTGGGTAAAGGCAGCCGGGAAAACTTAACAAGCACGCGATGGCTGGGAGAGGCTTGGAGAAGGTGAACGAGACAAGAGGAGACAGGAAGTGGAATGTATCCTTCCCACATGTACAACCCTCAGTGGGAGCCTGGGACAAGCTGCAGGTCCTAATGGGACCACATCCCGAGCCTGGTCTCCTGGCTTTGTTCCTCCAGACTTGCCCAGTCACTCAACCACAGCCAAGGGCAACCCGCCCCCCTCTGCAAGGTTCTGTGGCAGGGATGCCATCAGTCCCCACTTGTCTCCATGAAGACAGAGCCTACGCCTCAGACTGCTGAGACAGGAACAGGATCCAGAACTGCACCCAGAGCTCACCACTCCCGTCCCAAAAGAGCTGTGCCTGACTGCAACGGATGGGTGAGACAGCAGGCGCTCGGCCAGATGGGCACCTGTGAGCCAGCACACAGGTGGGAGGTGTGCTGTCTTACGCTACTGCCTCCGACCGTCCTGCCGGTACCAAAGCTGATGGGCAGCTCTTGATCATCTTGCGTAATCAGGGCTGGAGGAGAGGGCTCAGGAGCAGGAGACAAGACTGCCATCCACAGGACTGCGTTACTGGTGAGTGAGCACCGGTCCCTAATCCCACCCGTGTGCTAAAGGAGACAGGAACGGCTACAGCTGACAAGGCCTGAGTGCTTGTCACACAACACACTCTATACCCAGTATCTAGCTCATCCCAAACCTGCGACTGTAACACCCAGCTGACAGATAAGGAAACCAAGTATTCACCCTATGTCATACAACTGGTAAGTGCGGCCACCGACACACTCTGACTCGGGAGCCTGCATGTGCATGAAGGACCAGGGCACTGCCCCCAGTGCAGCCACACATGCTGAGAAGGCCTCTAAAATTGGCAGGGGGCAGCTGCCCAGGTCCTGCAACACACACTGGGAGCAGAAGGGGCAGGGAACTTCCTCCACAGCTGTTAATGCAGCCTGCCTACAGCGCATCCAGTTGCCCAAGGACCTGGGACACACCATAATGAAGCTGTGCCACTGGTCTGAGCTCACTGAGCTGGGTCCAGCCTGCCTGGACGGTCTATGTTGATAAACCTCTCCACATAGCTTGGAGTGTGAGCTAAAAAATGTTTAAAAGGACTACAGCCCACAGACACTAGAGCATTCTACCTGAGTGAGGCAATTAAAACCTCCAGTTTGGAAAGATGCCAGGACTCCTGCAAGTGGGACCCAAGTCTTTGGTCTTTCTCAAATAATAAAGATCTCCAAAAAAAAAAAGAAAAGAAAAGATCTCCAGAAGGGGACACATTTTATTAGTAGAAAACGCATCAAAGAAACAATCCCTGAGCTCCTGATGCGAAAGAAACAGTGTCCAATCCCCAAACGCAAAATATGAATGCATCGGAACAATCTTTTCCTGCAAGTTCACATCTTATAAAGAAAACACCCAGTGGAGCCCTCAGTGCCATTTTCAAGGCCAGGTCCTGGGGAAGACACTAAGGCACCATGCCCTTCACCCTCGAACAGATCAGGAGCTGTGGCACTGTGTGCCCACGCCTGGGGCAGCCATCCCATCCCAAAGCTCTCAGCTTGGTGACAGGCACGCTCTCTGCCACCTATTAGGAAGTTTTCAGGCCAAGCTTTACAGAGGCCACCTCCATCACTTCCACTTCTAGGAAGCTAGGAGGAAGACGTGCAATTCAGAGATCTTCCCACTGCTGCAGCCGCCAGGAGCAGCCAACACAGGGAACCAGGTTGTTCCAGGCACTAAGGATACAAAAAGGAACAAAAGGACCAAGCACAAAGGCTCAACCAGCTAAAACCCTCCCCTTGGGAGCACTAGGATCCCACTGGGCACTGGTTCATAACCCAGCTATTCCAATTCCCATCCAGCTCCCTGCTTGTGGCCTGGGAAAGCAGTGGAGGATGGCCCAAAGCCTTGGGACACTGCAGCCACAAGGGAGACCCAACAGAAGCTCCTGGCTCCTGGCTTCGTATCAGCTCAGCTCCAGCTACTGAAGCCACTTAGGGAGTAAAGCAGCGGATCAAAGATCATTTCTTTTGTCTCTTCTCTCTGTAAACCTGCCTTTCAATAAAAATAAAGAAATCTTTAAACAAAAAGGAACAAAAACATCTGTGAGCCCTGCCCTCCAGAAGGAGTCAGGGACGAGTAACTGAGACCACGGATCCCCAACTGGGAAGGAAAAAGCAGGCAGCTCCAAGTGCCAGCCTCAGGGCACGGCAACCCCAGTCCAGGGCACAGGGAGTGCCACCTGAGATGGACACTGGAGCAGAAAGCTGAAGGAGGGAGAAGAGTGAACTGCAGCAGAGGGAAAGAAAGCATGCAGGAAGGACAGACGAAGAGATCAGGGAAGTGAGAAGGCCAGCAGGCTGGAGCAGGCGGTCAGAGATGGCGCTGTCCTGCTAAGGGGCAGGGCCCAGGCCCAGAGGTAACAAGAGGCACACAGCAGAACGGCCTCATTGGCCTCAGGACAGACTGGTCTACATCCTGGGGAACTTACAGTGTGCCACATGAAGCAAAAGGCCTGTGAACAATAGGAAAATAACCACAATGCAATGTTTTCCTGGAAAGATATAAAATCACATAAGGAATATAAACTTAAAAAAAAAAACCAAAAAAGCTAGATGTTGTGGCACTGTGATGCTGGCATCCCTTATGGGCACTGGTTCTCACTCTAGCTGTTCTTTAAAAAAAAAAAATAATTTAAATAATTAAAATACATTTTTGAAAAAGACCATAAGGAAATACGTTAAAAACACTAACAGCACTTACAGCTTTGGGTAACGACATTATAAATGATTTTCTGCTTAGTTTTCTGCCGGCAGCCCAGAACTAGAACACTGAGTCTGACGCTCCTTCGCTCCCAAGCACGGAGCTGAGGGCCACGCAATGAGAGCAGCCCACAGTGACTTCACTGCCTTTCCACAAAAAACAAAATGCTCACGCAATACATCAGTCTGTCTCACTGTATAATTTACACAATAAAATATTAATGGAATGCACGACAACAGGACCGTAGCCCGGATCGATTGATTCAATAGTGAGATGGCTTACCCATTTAGCTGAACCCTTCCCCCAACAGACCTGGAACTATCATGACAATAATTAACACCTACAAATCACCCTGAGCTGAGGTATGGGGTAAACTTGAAATGTAATTCTCTCATAGAATCGTCAAAGGAATGAGGATCTTTGCGGCTTCGTCAATAAATGCTGTTATGTCCCCCTCCAGAAAAACAGATTAATGAAGCACATCACATGGTTTAATAACATAATCTGGTTTAATTAGTGAAGCACATCACATGGTTTAATAACGTGCCAGAGAGTCAGCCGGCAGTTTAGCATGCGTTCTCGCCACTGAAATAGGACTCTGCTGGACCACCTAACACCGGTGTGTAGACAGCAACAAAACAGCTCGGCTCCCCGTGCAGAATGAGCTTCGCAAAGGAAGGGGCTCAGTCATTCCTTTTAACAATAACAATAATCTTTATTTCAAAAGCTTCCATAAAATGGTTTTTTGAGGCTTACTGATTGGTTTGAAAAGCAGAGTGACAGAAAGAGACAGAGATCTTCCACCCACAGTTTGATTCCCCAAACACTGACAACAGGCAGGCCAGGCCAGGTCAGAGACAGGACTTAGGAATTTCCTCTGCATCTCCCGCTGGGTGCTAGGAACCCAAGTACCTGGGCCATCAGCACTGCCTCGCAGGTGCACGGTCTGGAAGCTGAGCTGTGAGCAGTGTAGCTCAGAGTCCATCACAGGCACGCTGATACAGGCCACAGGTGTCCCCAGTGGCTTAACTCACCACAGCACAATGCGATGGCTGTCCGTCTGGTTTGTCACATCAACTGTGCCAGCGCATAACAGCTGGTCAGACTGCTGCGCTGAACCCAAGTTTAGATTCTAAAGTGTGTGCTCTTAATCCCCTTCCAACAACAGCGAAAGAGGAGAGAAGAGGGGAGGGGAGAGTAGGAAGGGAGAGTTGGAGGGGAGAGGAGGGGAAAGCAGGGGAGAGCGTATGCTTGCTTGAGTAAAAGGGTTCGCCTTCACTAGCCAACTGGTGTTCAGCCTGTGGATGTGTCCCATCTTCCAGGCTCAGCCAGTACAGTAAGGGTCAATATACAGGCTGACCCAGCTGTGGAGCTGAGAAGTCATAAGCCTTTGCGAACAGCCCGCAGGTAAACACACACGGACACTCCCTGGCTAGGATCACAAAGAATGAAATGTTGTACCTGCTCGACTTCATGGGCTGCTCATACGGCGTCTGCTGGATGGCGTACTCCTGGTACCCTCTCCGAGGCACCAGGTCAGCCGCCGCGGTCTCGGGCTGTGCAGCGCCTGTCTCGGGGGGGCCGGCCTCCACAGGAACAATCTTGGTGGCACCTGGGAGGAGTGCACAGAGCTCTGCTCATCAAGAGGCACCGACACGGCCACTGCAGGCCACATCCCAGCACAGCGCTCTCCTTTCCCACAGGACGCCCTCACAAGACTTCCAGCTCACACACGCAACTGGTGTGTCTGTGTGTGAGAGAATATGCTCGTGTACCTGGGCACACCTGCAGGTGTGAAGGGGGAAGGGACAAAGCAGCACATTTCCTTTCATCTTATTAAACAAAAACACATTCATAGATAGGCACAAATACCACGCACGCAGGTGCCCTTGTGAGATTTTATATGGAATAGTGGATGACTGTCAATAGGAATTTGGACCATCTGGGGTCCAGACCCAAACACCAGGGTGCCTTAAGATCTCTGGCTGTATGAGTCTAGCCCAGGAAGTGAAGGGTTTGGACTGGGAAATATCAAGGGTCACCTTTAACTCTGCAACTCTACGAAGTGAAAAGATGGAAGCAGTTTCAAGGCAACAGACTATGCTGTGCACAGGTGTGTGTGTGTGAGGCAGTGGGCTGTGCTGTATGCACAGGCATGTGTGTGTGAGGCAGTGGGCTGTGCTGTATGCACAGGCATATGTGTGTCAGGCAGTGGGCTGTGCTGTGTGCACAGAGGTGTGTGTGTGTGTGAGGCAGTGGGCTATGCTGTGTGCACAGGCATGTGTGTGTGTGTGTGAGGCAGTGGGCTATGCTGTGTGCACAGGCATGTGCACAGGTGTGTGTGTGTGTATGAGGCAGTGGGCTATGCTGTGTGCACAGGCGTGTGCACAGGCGTGTGTGAGTGTCAGGCAGTGGGCTGTGCTGTGTGCACAGGCGTGTGTGTGTGCCTCAGGCAGTGGCCTGTGCTGTGTGCACAGGCATGTGTGTGTGTGTCAGGCAGTGGGCTGTGCTGTGTGCAGAGGTGTGTGTGTATGAGGCAGTGGGCTGTGCTGTGTGCACAGGCGTGTGTGTGTGTGCGTGAGGCAGTGGGCTGTGCTGTGTGCAGAGGTGTGTCTGTATGAGGCAGTGGGCTGTGCTGTGTGCACAGGCATGTGTGTGTGTGTGTCAGGCAGTGGGCTGTGCTGTGTGCAGAGGTGTGTGTGTATGAGGCAGTGGGCTGTGCTGTGTGCACAGGCGTGTGTGTGTGTGAGGCAGTGGGCTGTGCTGTATGCACAGGCATGTGTGTCAGGCAGTGGGCTGTGCTGTGTGCACAGGCATGTGTGTGTCAGGCAGTGGGCTATGCTGTGTGCACAGAGGTGTGTGTGTGTCAGGCAGTGGGCTATGCTGTGTGCACAGGCATGTGTGTGTGTGTGTCAGGCAGTGGGCTGTGCTGTGTGCACAGGCGTGTGCACAGGCGTGTGTGAGTGTCAGGCAGTGGGCTGTGCTGTGTGCAGAGGTGTGTGTGTGTGCCTCAGGCAGTGGCCTGTGCTGTGTGCACAGGCATGTGTGTGTGTGTCAGGCAGTGGGCTGTGCTGTGTGCAGAGGTGTGTGTGTATGAGGCAGTGGGCTGTGCTGTGTGCACAGGCGTGTGTGTGTGTGCGTGAGGCAGTGGGCTGTGCTGTGTGCAGAGGTGTGTCTGTATGAGGCAGTGGGCTGTGCTGTGTGCACAGGCATGTGTGTGTGTGTGTCAGGCAGTGGGCTGTGCTGTGTGCAGAGGTGTGTGTGTATGAGGCAGTGGGCTGTGCTGTGTGCACAGGCGTGTGTGTGTGTGAGGCAGTGGGCTGTGCTGTATGCACAGGCATGTGTGTCAGGCAGTGGGCTGTGCTGTGTGCACAGGCATGTGTGTGTCAGGCAGTGGGCTATGCTGTGTGCACAGAGGTGTGTGTGTGTCAGGCAGTGGGCTATGCTGTGTGCACAGGCATGTGTGTGTGTGTGTCAGGCAGTGGGCTGTGCTGTGTGCACAGGCGTGTGTGTGTGTGTGAGGCAGTGGGTTATGCTGTGTGCACAGGCGTGTGTGTGTGTGTGTGTGTCAGGCAGGGGGCTATACTGTGCACACAGGAGTGTGTGTGTGTGAGGCAGTGGGCTATGCTGTGTGCACAGGCGTGTGTGTGTGTGTGAGGCAGTGGGCTATGCTGTGTGCACAGGCATGTGTGTGTCTGTGTGAGGCAGTGGGCTATGCTGTGTGCACAGGCGTGTGTGTGTGTGCGTCAGGCAGTGGGCTATGCTGTGTGCACAGGCGTGTGTGTGTGTGCGTCAGGCAGTGGGTTATGCTGTGTGCACAGGCATGTGTGTGTCAGGCAGTGGGTTATGCTGTGTGCACAGGCGTCTGTGTGTGTGTGCGTCAGGCAGTGGGTTATGCTGTGTGCACAGGCGTGTGTGTGTGCGCGTCAGGCAGTGGGTTATGCTGTGTGCAGAGGTGTGTGTGTGTGTGCGTCAGGCAGTGGGTTATGCTATGTGCACAGGCGTGTGTGTGTCAGGCAGTGGGTTATGCTGTGTGCACAGGTGTGTGTGTGTGTGCGTCAGGCAGTGGGTTATGCTGTGTGCACAGGTGTGTGTGTGTGTCAGGCAGTGGGTTATGCTGTGTGCAGAGGTGTGTGTGTGTGTGCGTCAGGCAGTGGGTTATGCTGTGTGCAGAGGTGTGTGTGTGTGTGCGTCAGGCAGTGGGTTATGCTGTGTGCACAGGTGTGTGTGTGTGTGCGTCAGGCAGTGGGTTATGCTGTGTGCACAGGCGTCTGTGTGTGCGTGAGGCAGTGGGTTATGCTGTGTGCACAGGCGTGTGTGTGTGTGCGTCAGGCAGTGGGTTATGCTGTGTGCACAGGCATGTGTGTGTCAGGCAGTGGGTTATGCTGTGTGCACAGGCATGTGTGTGTGTGCGTCAGGCAGTGGGTTATGCTGTGTGCACAGGCGTCTGTGTGTGCGTGAGGCAGTGGGTTATGCTGTGTGCACAGGTGTGTGTGTGTGTGTGCGTCAGGCAGGGGGCTATACTGTGCACACAGGGGTGTGTGTATGTCAGGCAGTGGGTTATGCTGTGTGCACAGGCGTGTGTGTGTGTGTGTGTGTGTGCGTCAGGCAGTGGGTTATGCTGTGTGCACAGGTGTGTGTCGAATACATAAGACAAAAGACTCCAACGCCCCTCTGTCCCTGGAAGAGCAAAGAGAAGCCGTCACACTTGCTGCTCTCGTTTCCGGAATCTTCAAACGCCCACACTGACTTCTGAGAACATCTGTAGAACTTTGTGTGCAACCACTGAGAACAGGAAACTCTTCCTTCAGGACTTGCTTTTTTTTAAATAATACTATTGTTCAGTTGAGGCTTGGGGCATATAAAGCAGCTTTCCCGAAAGTTCTATCATATAACTGTATATGATTTATTTTCTACTGAACATCCTACCCTACGGTAAAGCATATACGAAAAAAAAAATGAACCATTTAATAATGAAGTGCTATGAGCAACATAAACAGATGCTGAAAAGGCTAAAAAATCCTAAACATGATTTTAAATTTTTATTTGACAGTTATTATTACCCCAAATGGATACAAAAGAAAATTACTACTTTCTGAAATTCACCATCATAAACTGCCTTCTGTCTGAAGCACCCATCCTGAAAGAGATTTTCTTAATAAAACATAGTATAGCTTATCTACCAGGTGTTTCACGTAAAAGGAATGGAGATGGAAATTTCCAGCATTATAAAACATGTGCTGAGTCCCACTAACACACACAGGGCACGCTCGGGCAAAGGCAGCCTGGCTGAGAAGCAGGGCTCCCACAGAAGAGGGGAGCCGGGCAGGAAGGCCCCCAGCAGAGGGGTACCACCCGGAGCAAGGCAGCAGGGCACGCTGGGGTACCCACAGCAACACCCTCTGCCTCCTCAGGAAGGAACCACAACAGCACTGGCCACGATGGGCCCAAGTGGACAAGGCCCGTGGCCCCACGGAGGATTCAGAGGGTGCTGTGGGGTTACCTCTCACCACTCAGAGGACACTGTGGGGCTGCCCTTGGCTCACACCGCCCCACGGGGTTGTTCCCTAGCTCCCGTCTGCCAAGGTCACCTGGAATGGCTTCGTGGGCAGTTAAAACCACACTGATGATGGGCTTCTTGGCTCCGGAAGGCTGCCCGGCCTCCTTTCCCGACAGCTTTTGCACTTTCTCTGCCTTCTGTGCCCGGGTTCTCCTCGGGGCCTTGTCTCGATCATCTTCCTTATACTTCCTTTCCAGCTCCACGTCCGACTCGTTACCTAGGGAGCAAGGAGCACAAGGGATTAAAGTGCCCTCTGTGTCAGTGACGGCGAGTCAGGGTGCTTCTCTCAAGGGTTGGGAGAGCAGAGGAGAGCCCAGGCAGGCAGCTGCACGGCTCTGGTGGCCCCTCCAGCTCATCCCCCAGTGTAATGCTCAGTAAGGCCTACACTCTTGGCTCCCAGGAACACAGGAGCACACCAGCCAGATAAAGCAGACGCTTTTCACACAAAGTCACAATGATTTCAGGATCATTAAACCGCAAGGCTATGGAAGAGATCATCGCCAAGATTCACAACCTAAGAAAGAAACCTCTCGTGCACTCAGTCTCTGCTTGAGGCTGCAGGGAGAGGCGGGCGGAGCAGCCCGGGCCCTGCAGGCTGGGTCAGTCCCCTGTGAGCCAGGAATGAGAAGGGGCTCCAGATGAGTCCAGGTGTTACCTGGGAGGCCAGAGGCCTTTCTTAGAGGCAGCTTTAGATTTAACACACAAGGGCTGGCACAGCAATGTTTGGGGGCTGAGGGGTGTCAGGGGAAAAGGGGGCAGATGTGGTCAACAGCAGCAGGATTCCAGTCTAAGTGAGGGCAGCAACAGCCAGCAGGAAACCATTGGCCTGGCATCATCAGTGAAGAAGCAGCCGGGTAAGAAACAAGACCGGGAGCAGGAAAAAAATAGCTCCCAGGGAGCTTAGAGTCACACTCTCTGAAATAAGCCGGCTGATAAGATTTCAGAGGATGTTGGACAGGTGTACAGGGAGTTCACGGAACCCTGTATCAGACAGCAGAGGGGCTGGGTGGATACAGGACAGGTAGGGCTTGGAAAACCATTATCTGGGAGGGGAAATCAGTCAGGAAGCCCCAAAGCAGAGGTGGGAGGGACCAGACACAGACAGCCCAGGCAATCCTTCAGCCAGGGTTCCGCACTACCTGATCTCAGATCTCCAGTCTGCCTGCAGCCAACCCACACTGACACTGCGATGCTTGTAGGGGGAAACCATGGGAAGCTGGGAATTCTTGGATGGCACGCGCCACCTCCTGGCCGGATGGCAGTTTCAGTCTAAAGAGGTTTAAGGGAGTCATAGACAGAGAAGCAAAAGAAATGTTTCAACATCGTGAGAACATGTGAGATATAAAGCCCACCTTAAAAAACAAAACAATGGGCTGGTGCAATGGCATAGTTCGTTAAGCCTCTACCCACAGCTCCAACATCCCATATGGGCATCACTTCGAGCCCTGGCTGCTCTACTTCCTATCCAACTCCCTGCTTGTGGCCTTGGGAAGTAGTGTAGAATGGCCCAAGTCCTTGGGCCTCTGCACCCATGTGGGAGACCTAGAAGCAGTTTCTGGATCCTGGCTCCTGGTTCCAGGCTTCAGACTACCCCAATAAAAATATAAATAAATCTTTTAAAAAGAAAATGTATGATTGCAACAGCAAACTGCTAGGCCTGAGGCTCTACTCCTGGTGATAACCTGAAAGCCAGAGAGAAGAGAGAAAGAAAGAAGAAAGACAGGCCTGATGCGGTGGCACAAGTGGTTAAGGTCCTCGCCTTGCACGCCCGGGATCCCATATAGGCGCCGGTTCTATCCCAGCAGCCCCGCTTCCCTTCCAGCTCCCTGCCTGTGGCCCGGGAAGGCAGTCGAGGACGGCCCAAAGCTTTGGGACCCTGCACCCGCGTGGGAGACCTGGAAGAGGCTCCTGGCTTCGGATTGGCATAGCATCAGCCGTTGTGCTCACTTGGGGAGTGAATCATCGGACGGAAGATCTTCCTCTCTGTCTCTCCTCTCTGTATATCTGCCTTTCCAATAAAAAATTCATAATAAAAATAATTTTAAAAAAGAAAGAAGAAAGAGTGAGAAAGAAAGGAATGAAAGAAGGAAGGAAGGAAAGAAGAGAGGGAGGGAGGCAGGGGGAAGGAGGGAGGGAGGGGGAGGGAGGGGGAGAAAGAATGAGAAAGAATGAACAAATCAAATAAACACAAAAAAACCTTTTAAATGGCAACACTAGGTCAATACTTATCAATAAATGAGACTAACTTCATCAAGTAAATTACTCTTTCTGGCTAAGGATCAGAAACACGGCCGAGCACTCTGCCACCTGTGAAAGACCCTACACCAGTGCAGACACATGCAGGATAAAGGCCAACGCCTAGAAAATGACATCCCAGCAAAGAGAAATACAAATGAGACAGAACCATCCTGGTACCAGACAAAACAGACCTGCAGATAAAGCTATAGCAAGCGACAAAGCCACTGTGTAATGACCAAGGGACAATTCCACAGGAAGACAGACAACAGTGAATTTATAGTCTCCTGATGGGAAACACTGGATACTGTTTGTAAAAGACATTAGAATTGGGCCCGGCGCGGTGGCACAGTGGTTAAGGTCCTCGCCTTGCACACCCCGGGATCCCATAAGGGCGCCGGTTCTATCCCGGCAACCCCACTTCCCTTCCAGCTCCCTGCCTGTGGCCTGGGAAAGCAGTGGAGAACGGCCCAAAGCCTTGGGACCCTGCACACATGTGGGAGACCCGGAAGAGGCTCCTAGCTTCGGATCGGCATAGCATCAGCCGTTGTGCTCACTTGGGGAGTAAATCGTAAGACGGAAGATCTTCGTCTCTGTCTCTCCTCTCTATATCCACCTTTCCAATAAAAAAATAATAAAAATTTTTTTAAAAAAAGACATTAGAATTAATACGAGAAAAGCTCTTTTATTAGGTCTAATAATTAGCGACCACCCCGTTTTCATCAACGGACAGAAAATGCAGACAAAAGAAATCAAAGGGGAGGGGACAAGAGAGGAGAACTGAACCGCAAACCAAATGAGTGCAGCACACATCACAGAACATTCCAGCAAAGAGCTGCACAGTGCATGTCATTTTCATCAACACCTGGAACATTCTTTGGTTTAGATCACATACTAGACCACACACAAAGAAAAAAAATCATATCATGTATATATTTCTGAACACAATAAACGAGAAATTAACAAAAGAAACCCAAGAAATTCTACAAATGCAACTGAACACACCACTAAATGAACAGTGTGTCGCCGAAATAAGAAGGAAATTTTAAAATTCCTTAGAATTAATGTAAGTGGAAACACAACTTGCCAAAAGGCACGGAATGTAGAGGAAAGCAGTACTGATGAAGCTGATGATAATAAGCTTCTACATCCAAAACCACTGAAGAGCAGACACCTGAAAATGCATCTGAAGGACCTAGGAAAGCAAGAACAAACCAAATCCAAAGTTAATACAAGGAAAGAAATAACAAGTGTCAGAGCAGAAGTAAATGAAAAATGAACTAAAAAATACAAAATAGATTATGAAATGAAATTGGTTTTTGAAAAAGATAAAACTGAAACCTTTAGTTAATTAACAAGAAAAAAGAACATACAGATAAAATCAGGTGAAAATATATACTGCAACTGACACCACAGAAATACAAGAATCATTAGGGACCGTTATGAAAAACCACATAGCAATCAGCTGGGAACACGCTCTGTGGACACACTGAGCCATCAACAGGGCAAATCTCAGCAGACCAATAACCAGTCGGGAGATGGCATCAAAAGCAATCTCTCAGGAAGAAAACCTCAGGACCTGCCAGATGGCACTGCTGGAAGAAGGAGCTCAAACTAGTCCCCAGAACATTGGAAGAGGGAGGAGAAACCCCTTTCATTCAAGGAAGGCAATGTTATTTTGAATCCAAAACCAGATTATAATACAACAAAAGAGGGAAACTACAGACCAACATCCCTGATTCACAGAGATGCTAAGATTCTCAACAAAATACTAGCAAATCCAGCCACACATTATAAAAAATCATTCACCACGATCAAATGTGACTTATCCCAGGAAAGCAGCACACGTGTGTTGAAATGCTACAAAGCTCCTCATAAAATGTACAACTAATATGTGTTCGCCAAACCATGTTAGAACACACACCAAGAGAGAGAAAGGAGGAACCTGAGTCGGCCCAGACGGGGAGAACACACTGGATGAGACGCTTCCTACTGCGGTGGCTTCTGCTGAGGGCCCTCCCTTGGCTGCTCCATGGGGCACAGACCGGACACCCGGACCCTGCACCCTCCTGCTACAGGATCTGATCAGGGATCTGATCTGATCCCTCCTAACAGCAAGGGCCACAGGAACTCAGCCTGGCCAGTGGGCTCTGGGTGGGAGGAGCCAAGCACACCCTGGGAGTGATTTTCCTCCAGTGGACGAATGGTCACCCTCCTCTCTCCTGCCCGGGACAGTGCCATGTCCACCACCTGGGAGGGAGGCAAGCACCTGGCAAACCATGCAGGGCTATGGGCCGGCCCACGTCCACACCTTGAGCATTGAGGTGAAGGTCAGATAGGTCCTGGCCTGGGACAGCACCACCATGCCACTGGGCCAAACCAGGACCACTGCTGCCCACACATCTGTGTAACAGCACAGACATTCCTGATCCCTTGGGGCCCAGCAACAGTGACCCACAGACTGACCAAACCCCTACACTGCTTCCACGCCCTGAACCTCAGTGCACAGTAATACACAGTGCCCTACGTCACACCCCCTACTGCTCAAAAAACAAACCAAGAAACAGCTTTGGTTTCCCTTTTCCACGCTACTCTGTACTGCTGTGCTTCTTCATTCTCTCATTCTCCCTCTCTCTTACACACACACATCACTGGCTGGATCCCCCTTGCTACCTGTGATGACCTCTTTGGAGGCGCCACCATGCCTGTGACCTCCTGGAGGTTGGGTCCTTGTCTTGCTGAGATGCAAACCTTCAGCAGATAGAGGACCTAAGTCAGACCACGGGAGAGAGCTGCTGTTTGCAAAGATGAACAGGTCAGCCAGGGAAGGACTCCATGGCTGGGGCTGGGTTCTAGGGGCAGGCTCTGAGGACGGATCTCTTTGAAGCCTGATACCACTTGTAACACTGGGGCAAAACTGTGCCACAGGGACATGGGGAGCCACATGAGTCACTGCTCTCGCTGTGGTCCTCGAACCCTGAC